GAGATGGTTGACACACGTCATCGGTTCCCAATTGCGCAGATCGATGCTCATGCTGTTGATCACTGGTTTGTCTGGTCCAGACTCGATTATTTACAGACCGCCGCCATATAGCTGGAATATTGCTGATTGCTGCGTTAAACGTCAAATCAACTATGTTGAAACAATCAGTGAATTGAAAAACCAACATGGCTGACAAACTTTACTTCCAAATAACATAAAATACATATTTTCAAGAATAAAACAGTTTGTTTCTTGAAAACACGACTCGCAAACACATAACACAATTTAAACCGATATATACTAACTCACCTAGCTAAAGCTGTTGCCATCTTGCCCACCTGACTTGTCATTACAATTTTGCACTGATTGTGGGTCAAGGTATATCTCGAAATTGCTTCGGCTTTTATTACGATTACTGACGTGACACCATAGATATCCTCACAATAATCAAATCAGTGCCCAGATTCCGCATCGTTCCGAAGTAAGCAAGTCCTCAGGCAAGATCGAGGTCTAGTTCCCACCGTTGCCGTTTTCAAGCCTACCTTTCTGTACTAAAATATGAATCGAACATTGCACATATGTGTAGTCCAATCAGATCTCTTACAAACCCAACACGCACTGATCACTGATATTGCAGACATTGCATATGGAATTGGCGCTGAAATTATTCCCCTAAAATAAACTTAAATGAATATTATCGAATTGGTTCATAGTTTTCAATCAACTCGCCCAAGTGCTCTTCGATATTGTAGTGTCAGTTAACTAGAAGACTGAACTCTGGCGACCCAAGATTAGGCGTTTTGTTTTGCGGCGATGCGGGGGTCAAGTTAATTCTGATTAGTCTGTTGTTGTTGTCGTTGCTCCTGCTGTTGTTGTCGTTGGAGCAAAATATGATCAACCAAAAATCTGATCGACAAGATCGTCTCCTATGGTAATCATGTCTATGAGTTGAGTGTGTGAGTGAGTTTAGTTTTACGCCGCTTTTAGCAATATTCCAGCAGTATCACGGCGGGGGACACCAGATATGGGCTTCACATATTGCACCCATGTGGGGAATCAAACCCGGGTCTTCGGCGTGACGAGCGAACGCTTTAACCACTAGGCTACCCCACCGCCCCTAATCATGTCTATGACGACCTGATAGGATATCACGTTTACTAACAAGGGAACTCTCGTGTAGACGCCATGACAGAGCCGTAAGTTAAAGTTGAAATGATAACGGTAGAAACTAGGCTTTGGTATAGGTTGGTAGACGCTCATGTTCGGAAGATTCACACGCATCCGTATTTTGTTCTTTTCATTAAAATCTTCAAGAGACGGTGTGCATGTATTATGAAAAGTGTTAAAGTCGTACACGTTTAGACCAGTTTAGTCTAGCGTGTAGAACTTGCAATGCGTCCTAATAGTAGTGAGTGAGTATGGTTTTACGCCGCTTTTAGCAATATTCAAGCAATATCAGGGCGGGGGACACCAGAAATGGGCTTCACACATTGTACCCATGTGAGGAATCGAACCCGGGTCTTCGGCACGACGAGCGAACGCTTTACCCAACCGCCATTTGCAATTGAAGATAGAAGTGATACAGATCGGAATTGATCTTATTTCACATCGTGCATCTTAACCATAGTACCTAACCTTCAGTGGGTGTTGTGCCAGTTAGGCTCTGATGCTGAGTTGATATGATTCATCAGTGGACTATGACAAGCGACGTTTGTTCATGCCATCGACTACTGGTTTGCCTTCGACTATAAAACAACTGAGAATGAATTAATTTTTACGCCGTTTTTATATATATTGAAGCCATTATATATGAAGCATATATAATGGCTTCACGCATTATATATGAAGCATATTTATAGACAAGTGGTATTTTAGCAACTAACAAAGTTCAAAAGGTTAAAAAAATTATCGATTTCCATTTGGAAACATTAATCACACAATTTTACATTTAAAAGTGAATGCGTAGGTTATGAAGATTCATTTAGTTCACCCGTAAATGTTTTTTCGTTAAACAATTGTATTGTTCCTGCTCCTACATCAGTCATACAAAACTAACAAAACACTTACCACTAGTTAACGATAACCCAAGGAAGAGACGGCTAACGGGACCGGGTGGTCAGGCTCGCTGGACCCCGTTTCACAAAGCTATCGTAGCGCTACGACTGTCGTAACTCCTGGACCTAGATTTTCGAAGCTCTCTTAAAGCTAAGATAGTCGTAACTTAATGTTAATGTATGGCTCTTACGACTATCTTAGCGCTAAGAGAGCTTCGAAAATCTAGGCCCTGCACTTTAACACAGACTTACGACAGTCGTAGCGCAGATCCCATAATTTAACATAGACTTACGACAGTCGTAGCGCAGATCCTATAATTTAACATAGACTTACGACAGTCGTAGCGCAGATCCCATAATTTAACACAGACTTACGACAGTTGTAGCGCAGATCCCATAATTTAACATAGACTTACGACAGTCGTAGCGCAGATCCCATAATTTAACATAGACTTACGACAGTCGTAGCGCAGATCCCATAATTTAACACAGACCTACGACAGTCGTAGTGAAGATCCCAAAATTTAACAGTCGTACACTTCGTAGTGCACGACAGTCGTAGCGCAGATCCCATAATTTAACACAGACCTACGACAGTCGTAGTGCAGATCCCAAAATTTAACATAGACTTACGACAGCCGTAGCGCAGATCCCATAATTTAACATAGACTTACGACAGTCGTAGCAGATCCCATAATTTAACACAGACTTACGACAGTATCCTATAATTTAACACAGTCGTAGTGCAGATCCTATAATTTAACACAGACCTACGACAGTCGTAGTGCAGATCCCATAATTTAACATAGACTTACGACAGTCGTAGCGCAGATCCCATAATTTAACACAGACTTACGACAGTCGTTGCGCTACGATAGCTTTGTGAAACGGGGCCCTGGTTGACATATGTCTTTGTATGCCAAATCTAAGGATCGATGTTCATGATGTCAACCAGTGGATTTATCGATCATATACATATTTCCAGTAATATTTCTGATTGCAGAAAACAACACACACAAAATCAAACGCTAGATTAACACTCTATTCAACCTATCTATCTAGCTTACTGACTGGAGAACTGTACAAACACATGACGCAATGGAGACATATTTCTATTCACAATATACCTGTGTTGTTCCGACATAAATAAGACACAACATTTAAAATAAGAATAAACAACAATCACAAACAAACGCAATTAGGCCTCCGGAAATTAATTATTTTTTCGTGGAATCAGAGCTTCACAACAATTTTGGTGTTCATAACTTCTTTTGGGAGAGTTACGAAACCAAACAAAACCGTTGCTGTCAAGATTTGTTTGTAGAGAAAACAATTTCACTCAAAATACCAAACATATGTTCATTATCCCAAAACCCCGTGAAGATCCGGGTTAGAATGAACCTTCAGTAACCCAAGCTTGTCGTAAGAGGCGACTAACGGGATCAGGTGGTCAGGCTTGCCGGCTTGGTTGACACATGTCATCGTTTCCCAATTGCATAAATCGATGGTCATGCTGTTGATCACTGGATTGTCTGGTCCACACTCGATTATTTACAGACCTCCGCCATATAGCTGGAATATTGCTGAGTGCAGCGTTAAACTAAACTCACTCACTCACTCATTATCCCAGATCCTTTTGTTAAGAATAGTTTAGCTGTACCGTTTGCTTTTAAGGTTAAACAAACTGTGAAGGTAAGTGGGTGATTGATGCCAAAAGTTTAATTATGATGGCCAAATTAAGCCATGCAAACAAGTGGTGATACAGCCAGGAAACAAGTGATGATACAGCCAGGAAACAAGTGGTCTTACAGCCAGGAAACAAGTGGTGATACAGCCAGGCAAACAAGTGGTGATACAGCCAGGAAACAAGTGGTGATACAGCCAGGAAACAAGTAGTGATACAGCCAGGAAACAAGCTGTGATACAGCCAGGAAACAAGTGGTGATACAGCCAGGAAACAAGTGGTGATACAGCCAGGAAACAAGTGGTGATACAGCCAGGAAACAAGTGGTGATACAGCCAGGAAACAAGAGGTGATACAGCCAGGAAACAAGCGGGTAATACAGCCAGGAAACAAGTGGTGATACAGCCAGGAAACAAGTAGTGATACAGCCAGGAAACAAGCGATGATACAGCCAGGAAACAAGTGGTGATACAGCCAGGAAACAAGTGGTCATACATCCAGGAAACAAGTGGTGATACAGCCAGGAAACAAGTGGTGATACAGCCAGGAAACAAGTGGTGATACAGCCAGGAAACAAGTGGTGATACAGCCAGGAAACAAGTGGTGATACAGCCAGGAAACAAGTGGTGATACAGCCAGGAAACAAGTGGTGATACAGCCAGGAAACAAGTGGTGATACAGCCAAGAAACAAGCGGTGATACAGCCAGTAAACAAGTGGTGATACAGCCAGGAAACAAGTGGTGATACAGCCAGTAACACATTGTAACCTAACAGGGTTCGGTTTTTGAGGGCAATTTATTGTAAGAAATCAAGGAGATAAAAAAAGCATACCCCACGAAGACATAATTCACTTCTTTTGGCCTTTACGGTTTCACTCTACAAAAATACTACATGTATCATATTTAAGACTTAACCGTAAATATAATAAAAATCATAATATGTTTTGTAACTGTTGAACCTAAATGTTTTTTAAGTACACTTGAATGGTACAGTCGACCAAGTTGTCTTCAGCACCATAACACGCCGTGTAGAGTTGCCTCCCCTATGGGTGTAAGGATCACGTGGGATACCAGTCGTAAACATCTGAGATCTTTATGACTCCAGGATCAGCTCTCAAAATCAGCTGGCATGCCTGGAATGGCCTATAGCTTTGAATCAACTCCCATTTCAATACACAAGTCAAAAACTTAGAGTTGGAAAACAGGAAAGATGTGTTATATCCCAAGCTGGTAATTTGATATGCAATAAATAGAAGTCTAGCTCAGTGGGCAGCTGATATCATGGCCTGTTTGGTCGCCGGCAGCAGGCGGGAGCCGTGGAAAATGATCCTCTGATAAATAGCGGAAGATGATAAAATAGTTTAAGGTCCCTGTCTTGCCACTGGAAATGTTAAAATACTGTATATTGGCATAAAAATTATCAGACATGCTGAAAACTAGCCCCTGTTACCATCTTAGACTTCCACATGTCGGAGGCGAACATGGCCACAATTAGTCTAAATGGCAGATTTGTCAAAAAAACATTTAAGCATGAGCAAGTCCCATTCAACTACCTATGTCCTAAAATGAAAATATTTTACAGAGAATAAGTATTAAATTATCTTATGATAAGTAAAAGGAACTTCAGAAACTGTACGAACTTAGACTCGACAATAATATTAGACTACGTGGGCTGTATTGGGTATGGTTCATGGTCTGTATGGTAGACTATACAAGCCCATAACACATGTAGCACTCTTACAAATGTTTCCAATATCTTTATCTGTACCTCACATTAAATAGCAGCATGGTACAGCATGAAAATCTCCCAAATTAGCCATTTTTGGCTAAAGTATTTAATGTTCAAAGAGGTTTTAAATGCAATTAATGTTTTAGAATGTACCTCTCATTCATATGAAAATACCAGATAATTTTCATACTATTTGTATTATCATTAATATATGAATTATACGATGACATCCTCGTTAATGTACAATCATCTAGGCACATCAGGACATAATGAGAAGGCCTTTCAAAACATTCGATCACCATTACGGTGCTGGTACGGAGCTTTGATGACAAGCACAAACAATTGGCGTGCGTGAAGTTCGTACTATATGAGATTCGTTATATCCTGAGTGTGATGAAACAAAGTGAGTGAGTGAGTTTAGTTTAGTTTTACGACGCACTCAGCAATATTCCAGCTATAAGGCGGCGGTCTGTAAATAATCGAGTCTGGACTGACACTCCAGTGATCAACAGCATGAGCATCGATCTACGCAATTGAGAACCGATGACATGCGTCAACCAAGTCAGCAAGCCTGACCACCTGATCCAGTTAGTCGCCTCTTATGACAAGCATGGGTTACTGAAGATCAATATTCTAACCCGGGCCTTCACGGGTAGATGTAACAAAGAGAGGGCCAGGTTACATGTTTGGCAGGCGGTTTTCCTTCCCTTTATAAACACCAGCGTTGTTCCGATCTGTTGCAAATACCCTGCTTGTTCTGAAAAGATATAAAAAGGAATATTTTAGAAGCCGTCAAAAGAGCATACATGTCGTTTGTTAGTGTGAAGTATAAGATGGCAACAGGTCATGATTATGTTTGTGTTATGAATATTTTGATCCTTCGGGTGAACAGTACATTGAGTGTAAATATGCACGTGCTACGTTCAAAGACGCACATCACGTGCACTACGTGCAAGATTCAGAAACTGTTTCTAAATTGGATAACTTGTGCCCAATCCTTTACTTGAATGAAGAAAATGTGATTAAAACAAACAAGAAACTGTTCTTACACCTTGATAACTTGGAAAAAACCATTGATTTTGTTGTTGATAAGCAAATATGGGGCCACCACAACTATCAGCTGGTCAAAGGTGGCAAGATATCGAAGTGGAGAATACAGGTGTGTGACTGAGGGCTACTGCAAGAGAAATTGGTTGACTATGAGCGGATTGGCCAGAAAACATCAGCAAACCAATGACGATAAGGATCGTCGGCGTTCAGGTCGTCCACGAGTGACAACCCCGAGAGAGGATGTAGCCCTTCTCAGAATCACAAGACGTCACCCGTTCATGACAAATGGCGTGTTAAAAACAGAGTGGACACAAGGCCATTCTTCATGGATGACAATGCTAGGCCACATCGTGAACGTGCCGTTGGAAGCAATGCTGCCCTGGCCCAATCTTTGTCCCATAGAGCATGTTTGGGACATTATGGGTCGCAGAATATGCCGGAGATCTTCCAGTACAAAATCTTGAAGAATTGGAACAAGCCGCCAATGGAATGTAACGCAATACCTCAACGTCATATCCAACGTCTGATTCAGCCAATGAGAAGGAGGGTCAGTGATGTTATTGCAGTTGGCTGAGGATACACTAGATATTAACATTGTGCTCGATTATTGACACTTGTGTGATCCTAAGGATGTCGAGACAGAATAATGATAATGACGTCACATGTTAACATCATACGACCATAGATATATCAGCACTATAAATGAGTAAAGTTTTGTCAGGTTTGAATCTATGAACAAAACACAGGTGTACGTCTTTTTACGTTAAGATTTGCCATTTATTTATTCCTAGAGAGTCGTTGTATCCAAATAATAAGCTAATTCGAGGTTTGGTAAGTTCTCTTGCTATGGTTCGTGGTATTGATGCTATGAAAAATATTGGGTATTGCGATACTTATTGTCATGTTTATACAATGGGCATAAGTGAGTGCAGTGAACTACATTTGTAACGAACTAACCGATATAAGAACTGGTGGATATAACGAACTTGTGTTTTGGTTTCGACGACTTCCTGTATATTTTAGTCGAAACGCATATAACGAACTATGGTTATAGCGAAAAGACGGTCAGTTGTGCATTTCCGTTTGTAAAACCCGGTATTTTCCTGGAGTTGACAGTGTTTCCAGAAGCTACCTTCATCCTAATTACAGTGAGTGAGTGAGTGACTTTAGTTTACGCTGCACTAAGCAACATTCCAGCTATATGGCGGTGGTCTGTAAATAATCGAGTCTGGACCAGACAATCCAGTGATCAACAGCATGAGCATCGATTTACGCAATCGGGATACGATGGCATGTGTCAAACAAGTCGGCGAGCCTGATCACCTGATCCCGTTAGTCGCCCCTTAATTACAGACAGAATATCGACCTTCGCCGTGTCTGGCTTGATTGCGACAGTCAAGACGATTCTACAGCGTTCTGTTAATCTGTCAGCCGCTATAATTTTGTCTATAATGTTCCAGGTGATTAATCATCATCAACGCATAATTGACGACTTTGATCAGCCATCCGCAGCGTTAATCGATCACGACGCACTGTTGATGTATGAGGGTAGTTATTTAGATATTTCTTTATAGATGTTATAAATCACAAATATATATAAGCCAAAGAGGGTTAGTGAGTGACTGACTCTAGTTTTACTCTGTTTTTAGCAATATTCCAGCAATATCACGACGGAGGGCACCAAAATTGGCTTCACACATGCGGTGAATCCAGAAATCTGATCGACCAGATCGCCTCCTATGGTAATCATGTCTATGAGTGAGTGAGTGAGTGAGTTTAATTTTAAGCCGCTTTTAGCAATATTCTAGCAATATCACGACGGGGGACACCAGAAATAGGCTTCACACATGCGGTGAATCCAACACGGGTGTTCGGCGTGACAAGCGAACGCTTGAACCACTAGGCTACCCCACCGCCCAAATACACAAATAGCAGATCGTATTCTAAAAGCTGTTGAAATACCTTGAATTTATGACACTGAGATTCTTTATTCAACAAGAATGATTCAATGTATTTTTTAATCAGGGTTGTGAGTATTTTCAACAAAATGTTCAATCAAGAGCATTCAGTCAACCCACGAAGTGTTCATTGCGTACAAACTCGCCTACATGTACCAGCACAGAACAATGGATGGTAATTAATTGTCTATCCAATACAAGTGGGGTGAGCTTCGGTCAACTGGACAATCAATAGCACGTCTTTGTGATGGAAAGCCCCAGTGTTCAGGCATAGGAAGACATTCCAGGTCTTCTTTTGACAGAATACTAGTATATCAATTTGGCTTGTCTGCTATTAGGGCGACAGGAAGTCGGTCTCATTGTAATGAAGAAGTAGTCCACTCATACATTTATGTGGGGTGTCTTTAGGACACCTGGTTACAGCACACAGGCGATGAGGCTGATATAAGTTTGAGTGAGGGAGTTTAGTTTACGCCGATTTTAGCTGTGTTGGCGAACCATTTGTCTTAAATTACATGAGATAATTGCTCTTAAACGAACGCAATAAATTCTTGTAAAAAAGGCTAATGCGTTTCGGGTTGGTTTTTTTAAGAGTGTGTGTGTCTGGCAGAAAACATGTTACCCTAGAGGACGCATTTCTTGGCCGCTTCTTGGAGGTGGTTCTCTTCCCTGAGGAAACAATGCCATCACATGTCGTTTGAAGGTCGGATGAGTCATGAAGTACAGAATAGGGTTGAGGGTACAGGTGAACTTAGCAAACATAGTTGGCCATGTGGTGATCCAGTTGGGAAGATTGGGATTATAAACCGACCAAAGGCAAACGAAGGCGTAAGGCGACCAGAGGATGATGAAGGTTACTGTTAAAAGCACACTCATCTGGAGAAAAAAAAACAAATTAAAATTATATTAAATTACTTATGAGAGCATATTGTCTACATTTTGGAAGGTGCTAACAATTAGTGTAAACATATTTTATTCAAAATAAATTGAACTAGGATTGGTAATGGCTTATTTGAATACCGCTCCATTTCATTGATACATGAATAACAATTACTTTACTGCAGTTTAACGAAGCATTCAGCAATATTCCAGCTACAAGGCGGATGTCTTATATAATTGAATCTGGGCCAGACAAGCAGACCAGATCAACATCATGAGCATCGACCAACGCAATTGGGATAGGATGACATGTGTCAACCAAGTCAGCGAGCCAGACCACCCGATCCCGTTAGTCGCCTCTTACGACAAACATCGGTTGCAGAAGACCAATTCTAACTGTTGTGAGAAATGAAAGCTTTATGTTCTCACAATCTACTGTCATTTAATTCTGTCTCCTGCTTTGCCTAGTTTCCGAGTTACAACTTGTTTTCATAGACGATTCTGCCAAAATCGCTTGGTGTCGCTAGGACTTATTTGTTCGAGCCAGACGCTAGTGATAGCGAAAACGATGATCAGCCTCGCTCATCACGGTTACCGTTAATTTCTTCAACCTAAACAGTGCGACATTAAGAAGGGTGGATGCCTATCAGATGCAGTTATTTGAAAATATCCCCGGTAGTTCTTGTCTGATTGGAATAAAGTATCAAAGCAGTGT